TTTCTCTTCATATAGTCCAGCTTCACATAATTTACTCAGCATACAAAATGAATAAGTATGAAGAAAAATAATACAACTCTGACAGACATCTTTCCTAATCTTAAACCAACCACTATTTCCTTATTCTAATGATTGCTTCTCAGTCTATTATATTTCACATGAGCACAATTAAGTGTTCTGGAATTTACCTTATTCTCAATGCTACCCACAATTTACTACTGTTCATACAGTTGAATGCCTTTGCATCATCAATAAAACTCAAATATCTTTCTGGTATTCTCTGCTTTCATTCAAGATCTGATATCAGAAACAAGATCTCTTGTTCCATGGCCTCTCCTGAATCCAAATTTAAGTTCTGATAGTTCCCTGTATCTATACTGTTCAGTTTAAAAATAATCTTCTGTAAGATTTTACTTGCATGTTACATTAATGGTGTTGTTTGGTTAATTTCTATATTCTGTTAGAAAACCTGTTTTGGGAAAGGAAACAAATATAAATATCTTCCAATTGGTTGCCAGGTAGTTAGCTATCTTACTTCTAAGCATAGTCATTAGGAGATTTTTTTCAGTAGTTGTAAAATACTATCAGAATGAAACTATCTCATTTCCAAATATGTTTGCATATGACTTATGATCTTGACATCTTAAACTGATCAAGGAGCTTTATGAATTGCAATGGGTGGTTTTAATTCCAAGTCACCTAGTTGACAGGTAGTCTCTCTCTCACAGAGAGAGAGAGAGAGAGAGAGAGAGAGAGAGAATATTTCTTCATATCCAATAATCTCAGTGTTAAAGCTAAATGCACTGCAATTCAGAGATCTATTAAAACCTCCTTTGTTCAGGAAATTTCCGGAGAGAGTGACTGGCTCATGACCACAGAACTAGTTAGTAGTAACTAGACAACTAACCCAGTCTTTATTTTTTTTTTATTTTATTATTTTTGTGTGCGTGTACCGTCAAATCAGATCTGACTGGTACCGGAGGAGATTGCCCCTCCTTCCCCGGCAGAGCATCTGGTGGATTCGAACCGTGCACCTCTGGGATTGTAGTTGCAGCTTCTTGCCACTAGGCCACCAGAGCTCCCCCTAACCCAGTCTTTAGTTTCTCAAGATGACCCTTTTATGATTCTGTCTCTACCATTTAATCAGTTGAAGGACTTGCTCCACTCCCAACCCCATGTACTCCAGCTTTTCAAATTACTATTTCCACATATATACTGCATAGGTGTGAAGAAAGAATTCTGATGTACACCTTTCTTGAGTTTATTTAATAACAGCTAAAATGTAACAGAGCCTTTTATCCAAATCTTTTGTTTTACCTACAAATTCCGTTGCCATCTAGCTGTCATCTTTCACAGCAGGATTTACCTTCTTGATGCTGCTTTCTCAACCCCATTGTCTGCCTAAAGATTAGTCCCCAGGAAGGACTGAAGACCCACATTTCATATAGACAGAAAGGAGAAAAGGTCTTCCAGCATTGTAACATCTCACTGTGACCAAAAATTTCTCAGCAGTTCACTGCACACAGAGTCAAATTTTCAGCAGCGCACCCACCCTGTGTGCCCAGTTATTGTGTAATTCTACAGTTAGCTTCCTGAACCTTCTACTGTAGTCATGCCATCCACTACCATTCCAAGAGGATGCTATATCCTGTTGCTCTCTTGAACCTGAGTGTTCTGTACCTTTTGTCTGTTTTTCTAGGCTCAACTCCTCTGTCAAGGTACATAACTATTTACTGTTCTTTCAATATCCCTCTTCCAGTATTGTCTGAAACCTGGCTCCCCCAGGTCAAGTTAGTGCTTCTTTCCCTTGTGTTCCCTCTGTACTCAGTCTATGCCTCCTAGGGCACTCATGGCACAGAAACTGCATTATTTGTTCCTTAGTGGTTGGTATTTTTCATAGGCTGCTTCCCATCACTTAGTGTTTGGAAAGAAAAATGTTATTTACCACCCTCTTCTCCTGACCTTAGTTGTACCGACCAGAAATGGACACCTTACATGTTGTGTACCGTAGAGCTGGAACCAACCCACAGCTAACTCTCTGGCAGGTTTTTAGAGGCAGTTAATCACAAGGGACGAGACTGACCACCCTTTTCCTGTGGAGCAGCTGGTGGCCTCGAACCACATGCCTTAGAGACTGCAGCACAGCTTCCTGCCACTAAGCCACCAGAGAGGGTTCTAACATAGAACCACTAATATTTTTATTTTTGTGTCTGTCTGGTCTAGCTCTCTACACTTATCCAGGTATTCTACAAAAGATTCTTTCTTTGGGAACACGGAATGGGCTACATTCTCTCAATTAAGATTTTAACTCAGTTAAGAAAAGTTCTGGTTAGTTATGGAGAATGGAGCTCTGAAGGTATACTAGAAGTCAAGGCTGGTGGCTATGCTGGGTTGGGTAATAAGGTATGGAAAGTAGAGGGGGAGACCCAGTGGAGAATGTAAGAAGATGGGTTTTGGGAAGTGGGGAGAGTAGCCTTGTCTCCTAGGGCCTTCAAGGTCCCATGACCTGGTTGCACTTCCTGACTTGAGTTACACACAATTTCCACACTGGGTCCTCCCAGTAATGTCCTTTCAATTTCTTGAAATTAGTTTAATGGATTTATGTTTCTTACACGCCTAAGAGCATTCTGTTTCTCTCCCTCTGCACCATCAGTTTCTTGAGGTCAGTGCTTATGTTTCCTCTTATCTGCGTCACCTGGTTGTTCCTCAGTGCATACAAGGTGCTTAGGACATGCTCGCTGAATGAATGATGGCATTCCTGAGTGGTGCAAAGGGTTGAGCATCTGACTGTTAGCCTTAACAGCTGGTGGCTCTAACTACCCTGAGGCACCTTGGAAAGAGACTTGGCGAACTGCTTCTGAAAGGTCATGGGCTTGCCGTGAGTGGCAGCGGACTCAACGGCCACTGGTTTGATGGTTGGGTCTATGTAATGAATACAAGGTCACGGTTTCCTATCTTGATTCCGTCCTGACTGTGCCTTTTTAAGACAAGACACTCCTTCTCCTTTAACCCTCACCGGCCCCTATTTCCTCCCACGTCTGCAAGTTTTGATAGGTACATTTCAGTGAAAGTGACGACGTTTCTGCTTTTGTTTTAAAAATAATAAACCCCCACCCCCTGCCAAGTTTGACACACTGGCATCTGAAAGTAATAGGAGACAGCACCTTGACCTCAATCGTATCTACTTATGAAGAAATCCACGGTAGCCTTCTGGATCTTTCATGGAAGAAACATCAGGAGAAGCAGGCTTTATATTTAGAGAGATATAAGTATAGCTTTTATTTTTTTTAAAACCAACATTTCCACTGGCAACTGTCAACATAACTTATGACATTATGAGCACTACATCCTTTTCAGTTATTTTTTTTTTCTTTTAAAAAAGTATTTAAAATTAAACAGGTTTTGTTGGTTTTTTGGTGTGGGGTTTGTTTTTTTTTCTTAAATTCTCCCTTTAAAAAAAACAAAACGTATTCTCATCGATGCAGAAAGCCTAAAGATCTGTGGGCAGTTTTTGTGATTTCTGTATCTGTGTTGATTTGTGTGTACATGTGTATTTTAAAGCCAGATCCTCTCAAGATTTGTTGACAAAAGGTCTGTAGGGCATGGTAAATTCTTTTCCTATAAACCTGGGCTCCATGTTATTATGGCAACTAATACTCTTCTTATTGGGTCAAGAAATTCCCCACAGGCTGGAAAACAGGCTTTATGAGGTTTAAAAAAAACCAGCAGGAATGTGAGAGAAATGAGGGACTCCAGTTTCTATCCTGTGAAAATGCTTTACAGCATGACCTGAAGGTTCAAGAGAGGTGAAAAAGCCCCTTGTATTCTTGTAAGAGTGTAAGTTGTTGCATTACCTCGAGAAACATCGTCTGCCCTCTCAGGATGGAGCTTTAGGAAGTGAGGGGTGGTAAAGCTGACGTTTCTCAGAAGCACTGACATTTTAAATAGAATTTTTCCCCTTAGAAGAACTCACTATTGGACATCTCCTCTCCTGCCTCAGACATAAAGCTGAAGACACTCAAGGCTATTCTTAGCCGCCCCTGGTCATCACATACCATTCCTATTTATGCTCCGTCTCCCACTTGGTGGGTGTCCCTGCAGGATAAACACGTAGACATGGACACAACGAGGCACACAGGATTTGCAAGGCTTGGCCGGAGAAGAGGACACAACTTTGTATTTGTTGTTTTGGTTTCAGCAGAGTCAGACAAAGCTCCTCTTGCTCCAGCCGTTCTTTCGTGTTCCCCACACCTGTGCAAGCTTCCTTCCACCCAGACACCACCAATCCTTTAAGGGAGTCAGTGAAAAGAGAACATGGTCCTCCCCAGGACCTTCGTAGGATCCCAAGACCCCTGCTACCCAGTGAGCGTGAAGGCATGTGGTCTGAAACATACTACCTCTGGCCATCCCTCAGATCTGAACTTCCTCTAAACCAGCTTTCTCAACTGACTTCATAAAAGACAGACGGGACATAAAAAGGCAAAACAAAACCAGAAAAGCCTGGTGGTGAGTGAAAGCAACCACAATAACGATTACAAAACGAGAACCTCCTGCCAGCCAGTCACATGGCTGAGCTTCATCTTCAGCCTCTGGAGCTGAATGAGGAGACAGTGATGTGACAGATTGGACAGACAAGCGAAACCCTGTCCCCAGGGACCCCAGAAGCAAAGGAAGAACCAGAATCAGGTGGAGCAGAAGGTGTGAAGGGGCTGTGGGCTTGGGACTTAAGAGTGAAGATAAGGTGGAGGTGGATTTGTTGCTGTTGTTGGTTTGTACTTCATTAAATACTTTGAAAAGTGAGTGTCTCCTCCTTTCTGTTTGCTTGATTAAGATTGCCCTTTCAGTTCACTGCCAGGGCCAAGGTCAGGTGAAGCTCCGGGGCATGGGTCCTGTGGCGGCCTCTCCAGGCTGGCGCTCTGGAGAGGTCACTGGTGGGGAGGTGCCCTTCTCTGGTAGGAGAAGTCCTAGGTCTGACCTGCTTGAGGCTTTTGTTTGGTGGCTCAGAACCCCTTGATGTAGCAATAGGCCTCTAGCGAGGCAAAGAGTATATAGAGGAGCCACAGGCCCACAAAGAGCCAAGTCGTGGCCAGCTTGCAGCTACGAGGGCCCCCCAGCTCCCCACCCAGGTGGGGCCGCCGCCGGTACAAGAGCACGCTGATGCAGACAAACGCAAAGATGGTGAAGAGCGTTACGGAGAAGGCCAAGGTGCCCGCTGACACGTGGAACTCCTGTCCCTGCATGGCCCAGTAGATGGCGGCCACGGACCAGGCTAGGCCAATGCCCAGGAACACGTTGACCGCATTGCTGCCCGTGACATTGCCAATGGAGGCATCTGCATATATATCCTGGACGGCGGCTGCTTTGCTGGCAAATGTATCTGGAAAAAAAGCAGAGACCAAATGGGAGTGAGTGGAAGTGGGAGTGACAAGCAGAAGGAGGTGAGCAAGGGCCAGGGAAGATTTATCCTTGAGTAGTATGTTCATGAGGCAGGTGGGGCCAGTGGAGAGAAGAGAGATCAGGGCTTTGAATGGATTTCTCCTGGTTCCATCATGGCAGGGAAAACTAAACTGGACGGAAAGTTGCAAAATGTCGGTGCCTGGAACAGGGAAAATTGTGAGTTGATGCTCTCCAAGAAATGTAATCTCATCTTCAGAAAAGAAAGTGTGCACACTGCACAGCGATCCCATCTCTTGCATGGCTGAGTTGGAAACAACAATGACCTGCTCAAAGTGCCACTTTGAATTTGTGTCACTCTCCATATTCACTCTATCCAATGTCTTACTTCAGACTCCTCAAACAGCTCACCAAAACTGTTTTGAATGTCTCATCATAGGGCTTGTAATTGCCCCCATTCTGGTTATTGCTCCAGGCAGCTATAATTTGCAAATTCCACTCTGTCCTACTTTCACTTTGTTGGCCATGATGGAACCATGTCAAATAGTCTAAACCATTGATAGAGACTAGGAATAAGGGGTAGGGGCTTGGGAGCTTGGAAAGCTAGTGCTCTGGGCTTCTATTTTCTCATCTGCAGGACATTGGAAGATTCCTCAGGCCTTTTCCTGGTCTGATAATTACTATAGTAGGAATTTCATTCTCCTTTACTCTTTTATTCCGTGAAAGAAGCAAGGCATTGTTCAAGCACTGGTATGCACCGGTTAAAGAATTTGGTTACAAACTGAAAGTTCAGTGGTTTGAACCCACCTCTGAGGCAGTCTGCTTTCATAAAGATTTACCATCTTGTAATCTCTAGCCTTAAGTGCCTGTATTCCCATCCCAAAGGCACATGGTTTGAATCCCTCAATTGTTTTGCCGGAGAAAGTTGGTCAGTCTCCTCCTATGTGATTTTCTGCCTCTGAAAACCTGCTGGAGGGTCAGCTGAGAGTCAGTTCTGACTCCATGGTATTCAACCACAACAACAAACCCTATGAGCAGTTCTACTCTGGTCATTATGAGTTGGAAAAGGCTCAATGACAGTGATTTGGCTAACACATATCACCTTGCCTGGGAGCCTTGACAAGCTGATGTAACTGCCACATATGAAAGTGTTCAATCATGTAACACAGATTACATGATGCAGTGGTAGGTGCTGGCTTTCTGGGAACAGAAGGCATGCTGGGAGCCCAGGCCTTCTGACAGGATCAACTATTGCACTCAAGGTTGGGGTGGGGCTCTGTCTCTTTAATTCTCGTACGGATCAGTTAACTTTATAGAACTTTAGATGTTGGCACAAACTGTAGACACTAAAAGAACCACTAGAGACATCAAGTGCATCCTTTTATTTTATGTAAAAAGTGTAAGGGTCAAAGAACTTGTCCAAAGTCACCTAGACAGTTAAGAAGGGATTTGGCCCTGCAATCTCATGAGACAGTCCTTTCTATACCAATACTCTGTAGCCAAAAAGCTTTATTCAAAGTCTGTAAACTAGATGAGTGAACACAAACTTTGCAAATCTTCTAATACAGTCAATTTCTTTTGGGGCCAATTGCAAAGACTTTAAAATGACTTAGAACCCAGAGGAACACGGATCGAATCCACCAGACGCTCTGCCGGAGAAGGAGGCGCAATATCCTCCTGTACCAGTCAGATCTGATTTGACGGTACATGCACACAAAATAATAAAATAAAAAAAATGACTTAGAAGTGCCCCAAGTCATCTCCCTGACTGGTTTGTCCTGGCTTGCCAATTTTCTCAGTTAATTCAAAGAAAATATCCTCCTTTCTTGCCTATGGATTGCTTCTTGCCTCTGTCCTTCACCTCTAATAGTTCAGTTCTCTCAAAATCACAGATCATAGGCCGTCACCTCCAGAAAGCCTGCCTGGCCCATCTGTCTCCTATCCTTCCACACAATGCATTTCTGTCATAACCAAACCTCCTGCATCACTAGTGTACAAATAATCCAGATTTGTGCCAGGGGTTGAAGGAAAAGGTTTTCCCAGACTGTGATGTATGTCCAGTTACTCTCTGGAAGGAACTGGTTTCCTGATAACAGGATGGGTTTCACTCGGTCCAGGCGATATTATGAGTCTTGTCTGGTCAGATTTAGCTGACCTCCTGGTGAGAATGCTTTTCGCCTTCCTAGGACTATTAGTAGGCGTGTGGTTCGAACTCACCAGCTGCTCCATGGGAGAATGATGGGTAATCTCCTCCCTGTGATTTACTGCCACTGAAAACCTACCAGAGGTGAGCTATAAATTGGTTTCAATTTGACAGTACATAATAACGACAGGGCAAATAGTATGCCAGTTCCCTGGCAGAAGTCCAGGGTACAAATCAAGGAGACCCTGAGGAAGTTAAATAAGGGAATCATGCAGCTCCTCTTAACCTGCTATCTCCTACTTATCTTCAAATCCCGCTACTGACTTCCTTTGGATGCCACTCTTGATCTCAAACTAGCTGGGGTCCCTCTATCCTATGTCTGCCCAGCATCTGCACTTTTTGGTCATAGAACATATCGAGATCATTTTAACTCGAGTGCTTGAAAGCAATCTCCTCTACTAGATGATGAGCTCCGCAAGGACAGGAAAGCACATTAGTCTGCCTCCCATGATGTCCCCAGCAGCTAGTACAAGCCTGTATCAGGCATAAGTGGTGCTTAAACAATATTTGTCTAATGAAAGAATAAATTAATGCTTACTCCTAATCATTGATCATCTCTCAGTGTTTATAAGAAAAAGGAAAAGAATATGTCATCCATCACATGGAAGGACAAGAGTTGGCCAAGCGTCCTTCGTTCTGCAAGGAGACATTCTGTACTTACAGATGTCCTTTCAAGCAGAGGCCAAGATTCCTTGTGAGTACCTCCACTGGGATATCTGCAAGTACTCTAGTCTCTCAGAGGCTGATTGCCAAGGGGAAAAGGAAGGAGGACAACATGCCTTTGAATGCCATTATTTTGGGCCTATTCATATAATACAGAGGTTTTGAAAGGTGGCCGCTTTGGTGAGTCTTCATTTCTTCATGTGTTAAATGACAGTGACTGCTGTGCTATAGGTTTGTCAAACACCATAATGGTTACCCCATTGTGGACAGTGTTTGGTGAAGCTCCCCAATTGATTCAGGTTTGGAAGCAGGAGTGTCACCCACTTCCTAAACCACATGCCTTTGCAAAGTCTATAAACAGAGAGAAATGATGATAGTTATAGAACAGCATTCAGGTCTTTATTCATAGAGTTGCTATGAGTCGTACTTGACTGGACCACTTGACTGGACTGCAGTTAACAACAAGAACAGATGAAAAGGAGACTGGGAGAAGCAGTTCTACTCTGAAAGGTGGGCTCTCTTGTTTTGGGTGAGAGTTGGGTGGAATGTTTGGTTTGTTTTTTATTTAAGCCTCTTTTTTTAATTTTTTTTTTTTATTTAAGCCTCTTGTTTAGAGTCAACACCATCTCCTGGAGGGCCTTTGTATTTAAAAGTCGGTTAGAGCCTCAGGCCTACTGTAATTATAATTTAGAGGAACATTCTTCTCAGTGGTGCAGGACTGGTCCGTCAATTTGCTGTACTGAGTGGAGTGGCTATGATGCTGAACTCTCTGTCACTGGGGTATCGAATGCCATAATGGTTACCCATGGCGGACAGTGCTTGGTGGAGATTAAGAAATGTTTGGAAGCAGGAATGGCATCCACTTGCTAAACAGCATGCCTCTGGAAACTCTATGAACTTTGAGAAAAGGCAATAGTTACAGAAAGACTTCAGGTCTTTTGTTCGTAGGGCCATCCTTGACTCGATGGCAATTAACAGCAACAACAATTATCCTTATGTAATAAGACCTAGTGAGAATTACATGGGATAAAACACATAAATTGATTAGCAGACTTAGTGTCTGGCACACTGGAAAATAACCTGCAAGAGCTGGCTATCGTTACAAATACTATCATTAATCTGCTTGGGGATGGCTGCACATTTTAAAGGCGGAGAGGCTTTGTTAAGCTCAGACCTGAGATGGAAGGAAGATAATGGAGGCATCTGAACCAGGTAATACCCTCTTTACAAATCCAATACCCCTCCTGCTCACCTGGCACAGAGGTGCCAAATGCCACAAAAACAACAGCTGTGACGGAGTCCTTGAGGCCAATGGTGCAGCCAAAGTGGGAGGCCAGGTCCCCAATTATGGCTGTGAGTATGCCGATGATGAGGATAGAGACGATAAAGCAGGCCCAGCCGTGGCAGTACTCCGTGGGGGGCACACAGGCAAACAGCACCTTCCAGAAGACCGTCAGGAAATGCATGACGTAGTCAAAGCAGGATGGCAGTCTTTCCTCCCCCGACTCATCCTCCTCCTCATCCCCTGCTGCAGGTAAGACAAACAGGCCCAGCAGAGGGCAGTGGAGTCAGATCCTCATTCCTGAGAACAGCCAAATCCAACCTGCACCACAGGGAGCTCCAGCCAGAAGCCTCCTCCTGGGCAGCGGCTGAGGCCCGAGGCACAGGCACTAGAAAGTAGATGGGGAAAGGCAAATGAGACGGGTTGTCCTCCCTGGTCAGTTTGAATTCAGGGTACCAAGGAGGAGTGGGAGATAAAGGAATAAGGAAGAGAGAAAGATTACGAGGTAGATACAACACAATGATATAAAAAAAAACAATAACTTAATTAAAATATGAATAAAGGACTCGAATCACAGGTGATTTTTCCAAAAACCCCCCTGCTATTATAAGAAAAGATGTTTAAGGCCAATAGTCCAATAAATAACATTTCATATCTGTTAAAATTATTTTTATTTAAAAAAATAACGGAAGATTCTAAGTGTTGGAGAGAATATGGAGGAACTGGAACTCTCATCCACTGCTGGTAGGAATGTAAAATGATGCAGCCACTGTGGAAAACAGTTTTATGGTTCCCCCAAAGGAAAAAAAGTTAAGAATAGAATTACCCCAAGTCATCATTTCTACTCTTACGTACGCACTTGTATGCAGGGACTCAAATAGATAAATGCACACCCGTTCACTGTAGTATTAAATGAGTCAAATGTGGAAATCACTGAATCACATCAATATGTGAATGGAAAAACAAAATGTGATGTTAGCTCCGGTGGCCAAGTGGAAAGAAGCTGTGCTGCAATCTAGAAGGCACACAGTTCAAGGCCACAAGCTGCTCCATGGGAGAAGGATGGGCAATCTCCTCCCAGGTGATTAAGTGCCTCTGAAAAACCCACTGGAAGGTCAGTTATGCATCAGTTCCAACCCCACGATACATAACAACAACATATACATATATGTGCGATGGGATAGTATTCAATTATAAAGAGAAAATTCCAATACATGTCACAATATGGATGAATCTTAAAAAATATAATTAGTAAAACAAAGCAGACACAAAAGGACAAATACTGCTATCATCCCACTTATCTGAAACATCTTAATCTATTAAAAAAATCACTGCTATCAGTTCAGTTTCAAGTCACAGCAACCCTCTGGCATAGAGCAGAACTGTCTCATGGGGCTACCAACGCTGTAATCTTTATGCAAACAGACTGTCTTCTTTCTGCTTAGGAGCAGCAGGTGGGTTTGAACGGCCAACCTTTCAACTAGCAGCTAAGTAAGTGCTTAACCACTGTGCCACCTTTATGAATCATCTAGGACAGGCAAATGCATAGAAACAAAAGGTCATTAGTGAACTTCAGGGTTGGGGGGTGGGAACATATTGCTTAAGGGGTACTATGCTTAATTTCAGATTGATAAAATTTTTTTAAAAAATGCATAGTGGTGATGGCTTTACTTACAGTCAGTGATGAGTTTAATTAATATCAATGCATGGTGCACTTAAATGGCTAAAATGGCAAGTTTTATAATAGATCTAATACACAGCATCATGAGAGATGGAGAAAAGACTGAAGTTGTTAATGCTTTCATTTTGCATGTACCCACAATCAACACCCTTGAGACCAGCAGTGAGAAAAATCAAAAGCTGAGTCGCATGAGGAAAATCTGCAGTCAAGAATCTCTTCAGAGTGCTAAAGAGAAATGATGTCAGTCTAAAGACTAAGGTGCACCTGATCCAACCCATGGTCTTCCCATGCTTGCTATGCGCCTGAGAACTGGACAATGACTAAGGACAACAGAAAGAAAAATCAATGCCATTGAGCTGTGGTGCTGGAGAAGAACATTAAACATACCATGGATTGCCAAGACAACAAACAGGTCTGTCACAGAGGAAGTGAAAACAGGTTGCTCTTTGGAAGCAAAGATTTTGACACTGTTTCACATACTTTGGGCATGTTGCTAGGAGGGACCAGTTCTTAGAGAAGAACATCTAGCTTGGAAAGACAGAGGGTGAGTGCAGAAGAGGAAGACCCTGTATGAGATGGATTGACACAGTGACTGTGGCAAATGGAGGCAGATGGTAAGGTTGGTTCAGGATAGGACTATTGTTCACAGGGTCACTATGACTCATAGTTCACTTGATGACACTTAACGACAACAACAATGTATGATATATGCACATTATCACAGCAAACTTAAAGGAAATAGGATGGGAGAGGCTAAAGGTACAGACTGTATGGAGGAATGGGAGTGGTTGTATCTGGTTGCCTGTTGTTGGTTAAGTGCTGTCTAGTCATAGGCAACTCATAGTGACCCTATAAACAAAAGTCCTCAACACTTGTGTGCGGCGTGACTTTCATCCTTTCTCCAGGTTCACAGGGTTTCCGGAGGCAAGCTATTTACGGAAGTAGATGCCACTCCTGCTTCCAAGCTTGTTTTAACCAGGGAGCTCCACCAAACACTGTCCACCATGGGTAACAGTTCTCGCATTTGACACGTCAGTGTCACAGTGTTCAGCTTCACAGCAACAAGTTACCTCTGTACGGCAAGTGGACACACCACGGCTACACGACCTAGAAGACTATTTGAACAAAAACAAAACAGTGGTTGCCTAGATGAGGAAAATCAATCAATTCTGCTTGCCTCCTCTTCCCTGGTGTCCCTGAAGTTGTCTCTCTAGTTGTTCAACCTGATTGCTGCATCATCCATCTTAGTTCAAGCCATTTATCTATTCCAAGACCGAGAGCTGTCCTTCCACACCATACAGGTACACCAGGGAGCCAGCACCATCCTCCAAATATCCCATTGGCCTTACTAGTCTGTGCCAGGAAATGTGGGCAGAGTTGCCCAGTTGACAGTCCAGGGGAAGAAGAGACCCGATGGCACCTTGTCAAGGGCGAACTCTGAAACACTTTGGCATCATCTACAGAAGTCGAGTGTCCAAAGAGCAGGAATCAGAACACAAAGCTGGATTCTAACTCTAGCTTTGTCATAAAAAAAGAATCTGAACCCTGGTGTTAAGTTACCTCTTGTTTCTGAACCACAGTTCCCAAATTTGTAAAAGGAGGGAGTAGATTATGTGGCCTATATTCCCTTTATTGCATCTTTAGGGCAAAGTAAGGTCATCAGAGGGGAAAGCCAGGAGGATCCAAAGCAGGCAATGTGAAAAGTGGGGCAGCAGTGGCAGAAGCAGTAGCAGCAGCAAATCTCTCTTCCTGGCTGTACTTGTGCTCTGGCTCTGGGGCCTCAGGGATATGACCCTGTGGGTTGCTATGACAACAAAACCCCATGAAAAAGACAAGGCCAGTAGCACTCTCTGCCCTTTGCTGAGGTGAGACAAAGTGGGTCCATGGAGAAGGGGAGGCAATACTGGAGTGGGAAGGTCCTTCCATTCCGTTCTTACACATGTGTAGCCCTCCAGTGCTCTTGGCTGTGCTGTGAGTCACCAAGGAGGAACCCTATCACACCACAGGAGAGGTCTGGAATCATCCAAGTGAGGGTTTCTCAGAGTCAGTGCTCAGGATTTCAAAAATTCGAGAAGCCTTACAACTGTAAATCAAGACTTTCTCCCATCTTATAGAAAAAAGGGGGAGGGGGGAAAGGAGGAAAAATGTGTATATGTGTGTGTACGCACACATGAGAGCAAGAGATGGAGGCAGGGAGAAAGGGAGTCAGGGAGAGAGGGAGGGGGAGGGTCCCTCTGTAAGGATTGCTCCCTTTTGACAACATATCCAAAGTATGTGAGATGGAGTTTCAATATCCTAGCCTCCAAGGAGCAACCTGATCTCACCCTCTCCAGGACATATCTATTGTTTTCTTGGCGGTCCACGGTATGTTTAATACTGTTCTCTAGCACCGAAGCTCAAAGCCATTGGTTCTTCTTCTGTCATCCTTAGTCATTGTTTAGCTCTCAGATGTATAGCAAATAATTGAGAAAACCATGGCTTGGATCAGGTGCACCTTAGTTTCTAGAGTGATAATATTGCTCCTTAGCACTCTGGAGAGGTCTCTGACAGCAGACATTCCCAAAGCAATTCATCTTTGTGATTTCCTGACTGCTGGTGTCAAGAGTGTTGATTGTGGACCCAAGCAAGTAGAAATTTTTAACAACCTCAGTTTCTTCTCCATCCTATCATGATGCTGCCAATTGGCCCTGTGGTGAGAATCTTTGTTTTCTTGATGGTGAGATGCAATTATGCTAATGAAGTTCTATCAGTATAATGTGTGTCTTAAATATAATGAAATTTAAGATGGAAAAAGAGCAGAATGGACAGGGAGAGAACTAAGCACAAGTAGGGGAATGTTGCCACATGGAAACCACCCAGGCACTGAAGAGCGCCAGGGTTCTAGAAGTTGAGACAAGCATTTTCCCAGAGCCCACAAAGAGAAAGCCTTGGACCTGGTGTCCTGCATTCAGAACTGCTAGCCTCCTGAACTGTGAGAAAATAAATTTCCAATCTTTAAAACCACCAACCTGTGGTCTTTCTTTTGTTACAGGGCTTAAAATCTAAGGGAGTGCCAGATTCGGTTTAACATAATGCCTTTCTGAGAAAGATCACAATAGCTAATTGTTGGATGCAGAAACTGAGGCTCAAAGTCAATAACTTGCCCAAGTGCATACAGAAGACCCAGGATGTGAAAGCTGAGGCAGTCATCAACTCTTCAGTTACCCAGGATTCTTCTCCAACATGATTCAGTGCAAGAGGCAAGCAGCTAAGACTAGAACTGGACAGACTACATGCTGGCCTTTCCCAAGATAGCACTTCTCTACTGAGATGGGCTTGGCTCCTTCTCGGGTATGGCCTCCTTCTTGCAGCAGAGTCTGTAATCATCCCGAGCCCATCCTTACCTGCGCTAACAGTGATGGCCTCCATGAACTGGTCCCTCCAGGAATGGGTCCCCACAATCAAAGCCAGATTCGTCTTCTTGATCAGTTTGTCCACCGTACTCTGGCAAGGACAGAAAAAAACCTTGGAGCCATGAGTTTAGAATACTCAGAACAATTGAGTCTTGTGTTTTATGGGAATAGGAGACATCCCACACCCCAGGGGCCTCCCCATGGGTTCTGAAAGTTAAGCATGAAATGGTATTTGGTAATAATTTATGTGATAACAGTCCTAATTCCTTTCTTTGGACATGGGGTTGTTGGGAGTAATAAAATAGTGGATGTAATAATAATACCAATGAATCTGGCTCTACAGTAATAGAGCTTAGTAATTTTGATTTTAAAATACACTTGAACAATAGTTATGATACAGCTAGGGGCTTTCTAGCCCATTTGTTCCATACTCTATATTTCCTTCCAACATTCCTAAGAGGTACAAATGTCTAACAATATCTCTTTCATGCTTCAAATGGGAAGCTGAGGCCTAGGGTTTATTCATTATTATTATTATTTTATTATTATTATTATTATAGGTATATTATTATAAAGAGATAAGTTGTTTATTCCACTTCAATTTCATATATTCAGTGGTAAAATAAAACAAAATCTCAGGTCCTCTGCCTTCTTCCCATCACTCTGTTCTTCAGTTAGACCTCCCTGATGGCCTGACCTTGAACTCATAGGATTCTTCAATGATGACCTCTAGTTTAGGATGTTGACCCAATATTGGCTTTCCCATCTCTGCTATTCTCTTGGCCTCCTCTTCCTCCACAGTCAGCTTCCTGTCTGTCACCTCTGCAAAAAAACAAAATCAAACTCTCTTTAGCACGCTCTCCATTCTCTCAGAAGACTCTCATCTCAGAGTACTATGTGTGGGCAATGGGTACAAGGCAAACAGCACTTGAGAATGGGACCCCTGTGTGCTTTTCAGTGCCTCTTTCCCAACAGCTAAGGGCTGTATGACCATCAAACAAGAAGAGGGCTCCTTCTAAGCCCAGGATAAGCATTCCTCTTTCTGTTTTATACTTAGCTAGATAATCTGACACAAAGGACCTTCCAGGACATAGCACAAGTCCTCAAGTTATTGTTTTGATGTTGAGGGCAAAAGTAAAATCTCTTGACCTTTTATCATTTCAAACCATTGGGCTTGACTGCCTGCCCCACTAATTAATATAGCAGTTCTTGGCAGGAAGTAGAGAAGCATATTTAATCCAAAGAGATTATCTACTTATTCACATTAACATCTGTTTCCAACACTGTTGGCACGATCTCATCTATGCAGGAGAAAGAGAAGGGATGTTTCCAGAAATATCTGTATTTCATACACGTGAGTATTATCTTCACTACAAGAAACTTGGAAGGATTCCCATATATCTTCTTGTTTTACCAGTAAAAGATCCATAGGATTTCTATTGGAACCAGGACATGTTTCTCTGTTCAAAACCAAAGCAGAATAAAGTTCTTCCTTTCATTTCTTTTGAGACATTCCCCACGTCTCTCAGTGTCACCATTTGCCAGCGGTGTCTTCTTATGTTGAACAATCACAGACTTACACACACACACACACACACACGCTGGTGAGTCCTTTTTAAGATCGCTTTACCATGAAGACATGTTTTCTGGATTAGAGTGAAATAGATATTGAATCTTTTTATTCCCCTTTGATTAGAAAATTGCTCTTGGCAGCCTGCTTCTTTCAGAGCTCGTTTAAACATCTTTCCATCCAAGTCTGCATTCTCACATGCAATTACTCCTTTTATTCGGTTCCTTAATTGCTTGCATTCCACACAGTGACTCTCCCAGGGGATTCCTCTGTTCTGGACAAAATCCCAAGGACAAAATGGGTCAGAGGCCAAGAAGATCATCTTTCCCCTCCAGATTGGGAATTGGTGGAGCACAAGAAGCCATGAATTCACTAAAAAGACTATAAACACGATAAAGCAAGGGTGTAAGTTACCAAGCAGAGAACCTTATATTTAACATAAGCATCTTCTCAGCTTGTTGGAATGCAGATGGTAAGAGAATGTGTGGAGAATTCTTAAGTTTCTGGCACTAAAGAGAAGGCAACTCAGAAATCCTTGGGAGCTGTCCGTGGTGCTGCTTTCCCTCTCGTGCTAGTGACTCCTTCCAGAAACAATTCATTATTTCACAAAGATCTATGTGCTTTTGTATATTTCCAAGGCAGAAGAAAGTCTCTATTCACTGATCTCATTTAATCTGTAGCATCTCAGTGTGTGATTAGTTAATTGTGAAGATCAGTCTGGGTACATGTAGAGTTTAGTTATGACATCAGGAGTCCTGGTAGCCAGACTGTAAGTCATTCTGTGAAAAAGCTCTCAGGCGAAACATTCAGGTTCTTTAAAAGTATGAGGAGTGGTGTTCTTTCATTGCAGGTTTGGAATCATCTCACAATGCTTAATCTTACAGTGGCAGCAATTGTCCATTCCTCCCCCCCCCCCCAACTGCCCCATTCACACTCTTCATGTGCCTCAAGAACCTTTGACCACCCTAATGAGCTCCTCGATGACATCTAAATGTACTTGTCTAACCCCTTCAATAGCTATCAATCTGACACTATATCCTTCTGACAGGTTATTGATCTACCTCTTGACCTGTCAACCTCTCTGTTCACAGTTTCCCATCTAACTTTCTGCAAACATTTCTTTGACAAATAACCAATCCTGTATTTCTAAGATATTCTACAGTTCCACAGAGGTATTCAATGTCTATTTTTAAAGTGATTTGGTTCACTTGCCTTTAAAAGCAACTCTAATGTTTTGGTTTGGCAAGAACTTCCACATCGTTTCTATTTTTGTAGTAGTCACTGATTTAAATTCAAATTTGTTTGTTGAGAGACTAAGTGGTAAATCTATAAAGACTATAATGGTATTGAATAGCCAGTGTTGCAAGTAAAGAGATGAAATGACAGGTGATCTAGACATTCAGATTTATGTGGAAGAGCATTAAACAAGCACTTGGATATAAAGGGGAAAGAAAGAGATCATAATATAAACTAATTAATAGGATGAGAGACCAAACAAATACTGGATAAACAAAGAGCCTGCTAGATCTGACTAGAATGGGTTGTTTGAATGCTCCGAAGGCATCTTCAGAGTGAATGGATATGGTTCAGCCAGTGTCCCCACCCCAGGGCCCTAACCCAGGGCATGTAGTTCACAGGGAATATATTTACTCTCCAGTTTACACCACCACACACTATTCACCATGTTTCTCTCTATGGACTCAGGAGAAAGAGGCAAAGACACCAAGATGTCCAACAGATGTCAAGTCTTGCCCAGGACTCCACAATAAAAGGCTCACATATGGAAAAATCTCAGTGGTACCTGACAAAAGCAACACCACAACATCTTGAAAGATCTAGGAAAACACCAACATTCTTCCTGCTTCAGATTCTGTTGGTATTTGTACAAGCGTTAAAAACATCAAAAAGCTTAAGTTAAATCAGAGTATTTGTTGTGAGTATATGTATGTGTTTGAAAGAAGATGGAGGTAGTAGTTGGAAGAAAGAAGCCGGTATGACGATAAGAGTAAGATAAGGGTAAGAGGATGATGAGGGAGGAGAAGGGAGGTGGAGGCTGCTAAATTGAGAAATGGTACGGAAGGTGGGAGAGGACCCATAGACGAGATGGGACTGCAGCTAGGTTGGTATAAAAGACAAGCAAGAGCCCAAAGAAGTGGACTCATTTTCTTTTTTTTCCAAGAAGGGAAGTGTAAAGGTTGCTTGTACTGATATATTTTTTTTAAATGTAAAGTCTCAAGGAGGCACATGTATTTACTCTGTACATTGCCCCCTTCTCCATCCAAGATGCTAACACTGACTTTGAGAACCAATGAACTCTGTAGATGTTTGGTCTCTTAGATTATGTTAATTCTTTTCAAAGGCCTGAAGAAATCTAAGACACTTTTAGATAAATACTTGCAAGTCCCAGAGAGCCAGCTCTGTCAAGAGTTAAAATGCTGCTGGACATTCTTTCTCAACTGTGCTCACAAGACTTGACGTAGCCTATGATCAGATAGCACTCACAAAAGTGCACATATTGTATATGTCGAGATTATTCATTAAAAATACATTCCCTAGGACTTCTTTCTTCGGCCAGAACATTGTCTCCCCCCGCCCCCTTAACATCTTAATTCTTTTTGTTCGTGGCACACATAGCTTCAAAAGTCAATGATGAATGGAACCAAATTCTAGCAATTCAGTTCCCAGATTTGGTAAGATGGAAGATCTCTAGGATCAGTAAAATTCCAGATTCCTTGAAAAATTGTTTTTCAAGTTCTCACAGAAACTCTTTGATCCTTTGGGATCAAAGTATTTTCTTCCAGATCCCAGCACAATCCTATTAGGAGATTCTGGCTCTGTCTTTCATCCTTTCTTCCCCTACAACAGAGATAATGGACGAGTGAAGACTCAGGGGAAGTCTGTGATCCACCATCTCTTTGATATGTTTGTTTTTCTTCCTTGTCCTAGAGAGGACTCGATGTAACTTTGCCAGATCTATTGATAAAAATGGTGCTCACGGAATTGTACATTTCCTCAACAATTACCTGGAAGTGAGGAAACACAGCCTAGTCTTTAGAAATTGTTAGCTTACCTCAAGCTTACGTTTCCAATTAAATCAATCATAGGACACTAATCTCAAATAAAACAGTGGCACTATCAGGATGTTAAAAAGTGAAGGGGCTCGATACTTCTTACCTGGAGACAACAGGATTGCTGTTTATAAATGGATATCCGACAGAGGGAAAGAAAAGAAAAAAAAAAAGGAAAGAGCATTAAAGTTCTGTCTTTAAAGTGTCCCCAAGTATTGTGGTTGCTGGCAGCACAGAGAAAGCAGTGAGCTTAGTAGTTGGAAGTTTTTGCAGCCACATGCAAAAGGGAGCGTCTGAAGCATGCACTGCAGCAGCAGGCAGAGGTTTAAGTTGCCAGAGAAGCTGCTGTGCAGCCAGGGCCCTGTAAGTGCAAGAGCTTTCTCCACACCTTGCCTGCTACGGAAGGGAGGGCTAGGGCTAGAGGACTGAGGAGAGGAGGACCTAATTGATAGAGCGTTTGTGATCATCTAGGGGGCTAGGTTAACACGTCTATTCTGGAAAGAAAGAAGAGAAATCCAGTTACCATGACAACTAGGCAGGTTGCAATCCTGCCATAATAGCTGGCTTGTCAGTGATGAATATGACCCTGGGGCTTGAACGGGGACTCGGGACACTTGGCAACAGTTTGCAAGAGTAAAACAGTGTGCCCTTCTATGCCTTCCATTTCTAAACTAAAAGTCAGACCATGTCAGCTGTCCCCAGTGTCCATAAAGTTTCCATGACCATAATTGGCTTCCCAGCTATCACAGTGTAGCAGGATGTTTATTTCAACTGTTTTTTCCTTCAATGGTTTATCTTTACATCTAAAGATGTGTCTCCTGGAGGTCATGGACTACGAATTCATATGATTTTGCATCACCAGTGTTTAACAAATAAAGATTTGTTGTTTGTTGCCTATTTTAGTAATTGTCTATTCCAAAGAGACACCTACGCACTTCGATTGGTACAGTCTCTGTGTTCCAGAAAGGGCAAGATGAATCAAAGCCCAGACTACATACAGCAGTCAGTGAGACAGTTACACTGAAAGTTAAACATAGATGGGAGATGACAAATCCAGTCTCTCTATGAATGGGAAGCAGAGTTATTTAAAGAAGTGCCCAGCACAGATTGTGTCTCCTCCATTTTCCTTTTAAACGCTAAATTTTTATTTCCAATATCCACTTTTAGACTTAAACATTCAAAATTTTCCCAATGGCATTACCACTTTGATGGTGTCTTACATAGCCATTCAATTCCTGTCTCTGCTCTGATAACTGCCCAGGAGCAATGCACCATATATGCTGGTGCAGCTGGTGACCAATGGAGAATGGCTGAAGAAGGTGGGATGCAAGTGGATGATTTTTCCTAAGATTCTATGATGTGTTCCATAATCTGTCACATGACAGCCACTAAAGACACACGTAGGTTCAAAATCTGTAAAGTACCTGAGGAGCGTGAACATGAATTTACTTTTTGGATACGTCTCGATTCTCAATGGATCTCTTCATTTCAACAAGAGAGATGATGGGTAAGAGAGCGTCTTCATTCTTTTCCTTCCATGGATCTTCATGGAAGAGTTCTCCTGGTCCCCAGGGGACAGAAGACCCCAAAACATTAGAACATCCAGGTAGAGACTGGCTGCCCTGTGAAACAGCGGGCTCATTCCTAGAGCAGAGAGGATTCATAATCAGAAGCAAGTGCCTCCATGAATTGTCTCTGTGAATCCGAGGCTTTCCACTTAGCAGTTACAGATTAATCAATGGCCAACTTTGAGTAGCACAGTACCTGGAGGGCGTTTTTCCTGCCACAGCTCTTAAGAGAAATGGGAGCTGAACTTACCCCTGCATTGATTGCCAGGGTCAGGTGGGAGTCATTTATCCCTGCGCAGACACTCCAGGGACAAGCAGAAAACAGCAGAGGCTCTGTGAATAATTGGACGTGTCCAGGCAGCTCGTCCGGGGGAGCCTGTGCGTGTGGAAATGGGAGCAACACGCAGACCTCATTCCTGGGAGGCAGGGCCTGCCTTCCCGCCAGAGGCTCCGGAGGCCTCGCGCGGGCGGGCTCTGCGCTGCTCTCAGAAGTCCATGTCTGCTCTATTCCAAGGCAGCTGCATTTCCTAATTCATCCTCTTCCCCACCCCCGCCCCTGCCAGCCGGTCCAGAGCTTTTAATCCCAACTTTGAAGTCTATTTTGCTTGCCAAGTCTAGAATCTCCAATTCCAAATTCTGTACTTGTTCCCTTTTTCCTTCATTTTTTTTAAAACGACAATTGTAATTTTGACTGGAGAGAGACTGTGCCTCTCTGGAGGTCTGAGGCTTTCCCGTGTAGCAGCGATAATGAAAAGCGGCTTCCGCTGTGCTGGCTCCCATTCTACGGCAGCAGTGAATTCTGGAAATCAAGACCGTTTTCCACGTGACTTTGAGTCTAGACAATCAGGTTCTATAACCTTTCCCCTTATAGCTTGCTGCTAAAAAGTGAGAAGTGTTGGGGAATGCTGGGGAGGAAGGGAAGCCTCTGGTCAGGACAGATCGCCTAGCTCTGGATAAGTGCAAGCCTCCCAACGGCCTTTAATACGGGTAGAGAAAGTTCCCCTGTGTTTGGCTGTACCAGCTTGAGAAAGCTTGCCACCTGGGAAGACGGCTGCTGCATCTGTTGAGCTGGGAGTGGTCCGCACGAGGCTAAGGTCCTTCTGTCCAATCCACATGTCCCACGTCTGCAAGCCCACCCTATCCTGTCTTCCTGTTTACCTGCTCGTATATAAATGCGCTGCAGCCCCCCAATAAAGTCGAGCTAGATTGACTCTCTGAATGGCTCCCGGAGTGGTGTGTCTCCATCGTTCTTACTCTAATCAGGGTGTTGCTGTTCATTGCCAGCGAACTGACAGCGACAGAGAAGAACTAAATAAACTGAAAATTGACCCTATAGATGGCAGAACAAAAGGCTGGGGAGCAGACAGATTTCTCCTGGCGCCCTTCTTCCTGGCATCTTGACCACTCAGTTGACCAGAAGTCCTATCACATGGCCAGTTGGTTGAAGTCCTTATTTGTTCACCTACTCCTTCCTGCGGGCCTAGATGTGACTGGGGAGAAACGATGGGAATCTTCAGCTGGGGGAAAGTCGTAGGTATTTGCTCTGGGCTAATATCTTCCATCCTTTCTTTTGGTTTAAAGACACCTCCTTCCAGCTACCCTCTGAGATCCCCTGTTTTATTAGTACTTCAGTATCCGTTGTTAGGTGTACCTGTCCGATTTCTTTCTGTATCTGTTGTTAGGTGTTGACTCTATGCACAACAAAGCAAAATCTTGTCCCAAAATGTGCCATCTTTACACTCTTCGCTGTGCTTAAGGCCCCTCTTGCAATCACTGTGTCACATCATTCCATTGAGGATCTTCCTCGCCTTCACTGACCTTTTCCTTTTCCAAGTACAATATCCTTTTCTGAAGACTTAAGACTGTGGAAACGGACAAAATTGGCTTACAATATTGTTAAGTGTATACTGCATCCAAACAATCATGAAAACACTAAGCACATGAACAAGGAGAAGTGAGAGTAAGGTAGAGGAGCCACAGAGATCATTTCCGAGACTATTCTTGGTGACAGGAGCAGTAGGGCTGGGAGAAATACAACCTGGGAAGCCATAGAGCCATCTTTCTTCCCTGCATTCCTTGGCAGTTAGGTTAATGGTACGACCTATTAGGTGGTCCTGGAGAAGATGAGCCGTAGCAGATGGAGAGGACTTCTGTCTTCAGAGCACCAGCTGTGTAAACCGGTACAGACTCCAAACTAGTCAGCTCTGCAAAGAACCCTCTGCAGCCAATAAGAGCTGGCGAGTCATCTGAGACAGAGCAGAAAAACCTGCAGGTGAGCTTTTGGGAGTTTAGTTGCTGGATCCCTTAGATCTACCCTCGAGGGAAGGGATTTACGCTGCCCCTTGTTATGTGAACATGAGGCAGTGCTGAGTAGTCATTCCTGTTGACAAATAGTTGGATCTCACTATTCCATTTTCCATGATGGGCCCAGCAGCATATCTTCCCTAAAGGGGAATACACACATACTCATGTTGGTATTTTCCAAGAGGACGTTTTACCATTCCCACACCTACTTTTCTCCACGCTTCCCAAGTTGTGGTTTTCAAACATTTTCTTGAGGGGAAGAAATTCTTCCTTACATTGACCCTGACTGCAACACAATCAATCCCTTGAGGATGAAACCTTGCTAGATCTTCCAAGGAAAGCAAGCAGTAAGACCACTCTTCTGCTGTGGGATAAAGGTTTTCCTGAGATCTGGATGATCTGCTCTTTGAGAGACACCAACCACAGACAGGCTTCATTCAGTGAGGGTACAATGTCTGTGTCTCTCAGGGAACAGCACCAACTAGGCTGTCAGAGAGTCCTTTCTCCTGTTGGAAAACCCAACCCACAAATTCTCTGGGCCTACCCAATGTCAGCCCTTTCCCAAAGCTCATTGGCTAAGGGGATCTATCTCTCTCTCTCCAGGATATACCTCCAGAATACTCCTTCCTTCCTTTTGCCAACTCCCAATTTTCTGCCTTAGAGGTTGCATTATCCCAAAGTAGCCCAAATAAGGTACCCTACCTTGGGGTTCAAGCTAGAACAGGATGAGGGAAAATGCCAAAGGGTAACAGAATAGCTCAGGATTCCAGATTACATGATTGTCTCAGAAGCCAGCTCTCTTCAGGGCCTCTGATAATTAGTATACAATCCCATGCCATGGCCTACCCAACTGTGAAATAACCAGATAATATACTTACCTCCACAAAGGGCAGAGAGGCCCAGGAGCCACTCTGCAAGTGAATGGCCTGCCAAACTCTCAATTGAGTGTGGGGAGTGTAGCAGAAATCTGTCAAAGCATCATTGCAACAACATGGGCTCCAACCCCCAGCCCAGCCCACCCACCTTCAATCCAGGTGATAGAGTGAAGGGCGGGAAGAGGGGGAAGGCAGGGAAGATGTGCAGGCATGCATCGCATCGCATTCCTGGGCTTGCCTTCTCCTCCCCACCCAGGAGGAGTCAGCATACTGACAGGTTCCAGTATGTGTGAGGGGAGTGCAGGGGACAACAGTGATTGGATAACCAGAGTCAAATATGGCAAGTAACTCATTAGGGTAATGAGGAGTAGAGGCTGCAGCATTGCCCAGAAGGTGGGAAAGGAGGACTGGAAATAAGCTAAAGGCTAAGAAGGCAGAGATGACACCGAAACAGGGTGAGAGCGCGAATACAGGAGGGAAGAGAATAAAAAATTCTGTTGGTCAAAAGAAGGAAGGAGGAGAAGGAAAGAAAAGGGGGGCAGGAAAAAAAATAATTGCTTTTTATTTATTTATTTTTTTTGGTGTTTTTCAGTTAAATTTTTTTTTTCTTTCTTTTTTTTTTTTTTTTTAAGAATCTCACACCTGATATTCCACGTTCCATCCATTTCGGTTCACCAAGGACAATGAAGAAATTCTCTTGCCTTTCGTATTCCTCCTCATCTATTATTTTAACCCTTATGGTTTTCCTGTAGGGACAACAAGAGAGAGAGTGTGTCGACTGGATCGGCTGGGTGGTTGGTAACCTGGAGCACAGCCTTTAAAACCATTCCCCATCGCTCCTTCCACATGCACCCGAGTCTCGCTGTGCTGGCTTTTGACAGGACTATGGCGGATTGTGTCGATCTTAGGCAAAAATAGAGGCTTAGTTTTCCTTGTCTCTTTGTTCTTATGAGAGGGAAAGGTAGCCAGGAGGCAAAGAAAAGTGGGCAAAGGAAGGTATCGAGGAGGGCCGGAGAGGAATGGGCAGGCAGAGAACCTGGGGTGGGGGACGGTGGGGAGGAGTCGCTTCAGATCCTGCCGATGGTTAGTCAGAAAAAGGACAGGCAGCACATTCCACTGGGCATCACATGGCAGCAATAGCATTGCTTGGGCAGTGAGTTAAACTACTGGTCCTTGAACAAGACCCACGACTGTTCCGAGGCAGACAATATGGTCAACAGACCTAGGGTCTGTTTTCCTTCCTGGTGTCCTTAGCCCCTCCTCACACAAGTCTCATAAAGACAAATTCAAAAGAAAAATATTTATGAAGAAGGGTACCACAGAGAGAGAGAGCGAGCTAGAAAAAGGGAGGCAGAATTACCTTATCCTTTATCTCCTAAGGCAACAGTGGTGGGAACTAAAATATGTAATTGATAATAGAATAGATTATAATATAATCTTACAATATAATCTTATCCAAAATAGAATATTTTCTATTTTAGTATTTATAGCTAAAGCATACTTGGAGAAAATGTCAAGTAAATAAGGTAAATAAAATTCAAAATATCTTTTTGACTTTTCCTTAATTAGCATTGTGTATCAAGACTGACTTCCTTAAATACTGGTAATTATATGTCTGAAGGACAAAACAATGGAAGTTTCTTTTTCTCACTAGGTGGCCTGTACAAAGCATAGTATTTTAAAATCCATATCATGCAGGGAAGCACAGTTTGCCTGAATTTTACTTCCAAAGACTAGCTCGTAGCTGGCTCAGGTCATAGTCATGTGGAGGGCCGCTGTCTGGACCTGACTCTCCTGTGTAGCTTCTCCTTCCTAGAACACAACTGTACGCAGCTAGTGCCACTAGTCAGCTGGATTTTTCAGTCATTCATTTTGTTTGGTTGTTTATGTCCTGAGACCTAAATGCTCCCCAAAGAGACAGAACAACGCTACAAGTGGCAGCCTAGAATATCTGCTCAGAGCTCATGATTGTCTCTTACGTTTTGAAGGTGTACTCAGCTTTGCCCTCTATAAAGTGGTACACAAGTGGACCTGAGATGGTTCACTGGGCCCAGGACTAGCAGTGCACATGGTGTGTGTGCATATCACGTGTGTGTGTGTGTGTGTGTGTGTGTGTGTGTGTGTTTTACAATTGTGTTTTTGTTAGCTTTTTTCCCCTGTCATTTTTCTTTCATGCCTTGCTCAGCAGACACACAAAAAGGCTCACTGACTGTTAAGAAGCATTTTGTGAGATTTTTCTCTCCAGGCCTTGCATATGGAGTCCCTGGAATGATGCTGATGTCAACCTGGGCTATCTTCTTGCTGCAAAGACAATGAGATGGGAGTCGGGTGCCTGTGACCATGGCAATGACCTGATGAAGACTGATTAATGGGAAAAGAGAATGAATGGTGCTTCTCCTACAGTATGGCCTATTCTGAATGGGAGAGTTCTCTGACTTGCTCCATCTACTCTGGGAAGTCCCATGAACTAAGGTCTAATTCTTCTTTCCCACTAGTCTCTGCCTCCGCACCTAGATTTTCTTAATAAGAAAAGTTGGGACAGGAGGGCAAGGAACTCAAACCTGTACTTTCAACTCCATCAAAGTTCAGCAGAGAACTGTGCCTTCCACGTAAGGATGCAACAGATAAAGCTCCTAAGGCTTGTTGGGGCTTTGGGATGATCCACAAATAGAAGCATGATTCAAATATATTGAGTCTTAATGTCTAGGAACTAAACCTTTAACCTTAAGAATAAGTGCATCTGGAATAACTGAAACCTGTGAACACTTGGAGAATAATTGGCAATCTGTGCTGAGAGCTGAGGTCGGTTTCCCCATACCACCCTACTGCCTGGTTCTGTGCTATCTGATCTTTTTCTTTCCTGAAGACTAAGTGATCCAAAAATCAGGGAGTCTCACATGTGATATTAAGCCAGTCACAAAAAGCAGAGAGTCTGATACTCTGGCTAGTGTCTTGGTCTCTCTCTCTCTGTGTATCCACCCACTTCTTATCCCCATACATTTTACTATGGGCTCCTGAGCATCCTTCTTATTGGTACCATGTGACAAGCTGCTGGTGTTAGGATAGGTGAGGGAAGCAAAGAGAGGGGAGGGAGAGTGTAAACAAAAGAGAATAAAATAAAGTAAGAGTCAGGAAAAGGGAACCAGAGAGGTGAGAGGAAAAGAGACAGAGCTGGAGACAGATGAGACAAAGAAAGAAAGAGATGAGGAGAAAAAAAGGTTAATGTTAGTGTGAAGGACAGGGTACTACACCTTTCTGAAAACTCATATCCACCATGCGGGGACCCATCATCTCAATGAAGTAATTCTTGTTTTTCTCATACGCCTCATCATCAATTACCTTGACGTGAATTGTTTTGCTGTGAATGGAAAAATAAGTATCATAAGCAGGGAGAGCAGAGTGAAGGCAAGTCAGCCAGGAGAAGACGCAGGAGGAGAAGGCGACTGTGGAAGGCTCCAGGAAGGTCAAATTTTGCCCAACACCACAAGGGCACCAAAGGACATGGTCGTCCCTGATCTCTTTCCCAGGCTCCCTAGGCTTCTCTGGGGCTACATGTAGCCTCCTGGCGTGATCTGACTTGAGTGGAAAGAACTCAAGCTTTGCAGTCAACGGTTCTGGCTTCTAATCCTGGCTCGTCTGTGTGACCTTGGACAAACAAGTGTCCTGATATACAAATGGGACAAATAAGACTTAGTTCATCTCCGGGGTGGTGATGAGAGCCATGAAATAGACAAATAAAAGGTCAGGCATTAAGATTTCTCGCAATGTTTTTTTCTTTATCCTTCTTGGTTTAGGAGAAAGGGAGAATTTTCTTTCTTTATTTTTACTTTTGAAATCTGAAATTTTTACTTTTGAGCCTAATCTGAAAGGATTCTTTTACACAAAGAGCAGAAGAGTATATGTAGGTGTGTGGGTGGGGTGGGGTGGTTTTCAAGTTGGCCTATGGGAGTCTCACCTGGAAAAGGTAGAACTTCCCTTCTCCCCACAATGCTTATCACAGGGGAACCAGAAGAGCAACGTGGCCCAAGTCAAACACATAGCTTACAAGCTACTGGGATGCATTCTCTCGCCTGGCCTCTTCAAGGCCAGGCCTATAGTGCCTGGCTCACATTCATTCTAGGGAGCTCTGAATTATGATTATCTTAAAAGTCACAGAATTCTTTTGTGACTAGCACAATTACATTTTTATGTTAAAGACATTATTTCTTTAAACATTTAAAATATAAAACTATATTAATAACCCTGTTTTGCATTTCTTTCTTTCTGCCTTTTTTTTTTAATACATATGATGAAAAAAGCATCAGACATGGAATTAAGTCTGGCCCTTTCGTAGCCTCAGGTCATCACATCAGACATTTCATGGCCAGAAGTTTAGGTGTCTCCTAGTAGGCATTCATGATATGAGGCGAAGTCTCCCTTGGGCTTTGGGAAAGAAGGGTCCATGCAGATGCCCTATTCAGCTGCTATGATTCCCTCCCCAACACCCAGTTCCAGTATCTTAATGTCTGCCCTTTGCTGAGGAGGCTGAGGCCTGAAGATTCTCCTTTATCCTTTTTTTTTTTGAAAGTCTGGATATCTTTACATCCAGTTTAGAACTCTCTCTCTGCTTCTCTGAACTTTCCCACACTGTCTTCTACACAGCTTCCATGAGCCACACTGTTGTCCCTTAAAATCAGCGGTGGGTCCCCTGTTTCTGAAGTGAATGCCATAGGGGTCACTAATACACCCTGTCCCTGGCTCGCCACCACCTACAAGAGACAAAGATCCTGAATCCTCATCACTCGCTCACTCTCCTCAGCTGAAGAAAACCCTGGTGAGCCACCACAGAGAGCCTGGTTGTCCCACCGGGGAAGGACCACAATCTTGGGGCCTTCCTCCACAGCAGGAACACTGGAAGAGTAAGTGCACTGGTGATAGAGGCTAGTGAGTGACCTTCAGAGCTCACCTCCTCTCTTCACTAGCTGTGTGACCTTGGGCAACTTACTAACACTCTTCAAGTCTCAATTATAAAATGAGTTAATATCTACAGTCCAATGTCCTTACATGAGATGGTACATACAAAATACTTGGCAGGGCACATGTCCCTGAACCAAATCAAAACCACTGCCTTCAAGTAGTCCCCAGCTCACAGCAGCCCTTCATCAGGCTTCCAAGGCTGTAAGCTTTATGGGAATTGACGGCCCATCTTTCCTCCAGTTAGTGCCAGGTGGATTCTAGCTGCTAACCTTCCAATACAGCACAACATGGAATGCACTCCACTACAGGAGCTCCCATCACACAGGAGATGTTTACTAAGTAGCAATTATTCTTAGTTAAGGGAGCTGCAGTGGCCTAGTGATAAAGAGCTGCACCACCAGCTTAAAGGCAGGTGGTTTGAGTCCACCAGCTGCTCCACAGAAGAAGGGGGAGCAATCTCCTTCCAAGCGGTATACAGCCTTTGGAAAACCCCTGGAGAGTCACACAACAACAGCAACAACATTTTAATAACAACAACAACAACATTGTTGTTGTTTTTAAGTGTTGTTGACTTGAGCACAACTCATAGTGGCCCTATGAATAAAAGACCTGAACCCTGTACTGTCGTTTCTCTATGTTCATAGAGTTTCCAGAGGTATACGGTTTAGGAAGTGGAAGCCAAACCTGAATCAATCTGGGAGCTCCACCAAACACTGTCCATGATGGGTAACCATTATGGTGTTTGATACTCCAGTGACACAACATTCAGCATCACAGCAACCCAAGTTACCTCAGTACAGCAAGTTGACAAACCAGTGCTGTACCAATTAGAAGAATGTTTATCTCAAACACAATTAACACCAACCGCCTTTTAAATACCAGGCCTTCTCACCAGTTCTGGTTGAATCTAAACAAAGAGGCTTCCAGCCCACAGCTCATTGTTAGCGAAATCCGGCAAATCCAAGTTGCTAACCAAAATGTAGGCAATTCAAAAAGAGTTAGGAATCTGCTTCAGAAAGATTACAGCCAAGAAAATGGTATAGGGCACTTCTACTGAGGCACATGTGGTTGCTATGAATCAGAATTGATGTGACAGCACCCAAAACCAGTGCCAACACCACTTAAATGATGTAATAATAATCTCAGCTCAATAGTTTGAGAATAAAATACATAAGGGTGTGTCTACCCATTCAGTGAGAGAATAAGGAGAGCTAACAAACAGAATTGATTGCTGAAGAGGGAATAAGACACTAGAAAAAGTAGTCAGGCCAAGGAAAGGTTTGAAGAAAATAGAATGATACTTAGTTCAGTCTTAGAGGGTCTTGGAATGTTAAAGAATAAAGTGAAGAAAAATGCTTATACTCTCTCAAAATCTAGTGAAACTTAGCTTGGCTAGCTGGAACTAATTTGGAGGGTAGAATGAGTAGAAATTGCAGACTGCCTGCCAGCTTCTCTTACTGAGCTCTTTCACTGGGAAAGACAACACATCTGTTTGGACTTAGGTGCTACCCTTGCCTGGAGGCTAGAGAAATCCCTTCCAGCTTGTGAAAACTGAGAAAGTTCTCACTTTTGCTAAAGCTACAAATGAGGCTACAGAGACACTTAAACATATTTCATAGAAAGCACCAGCCAGGTTTTGAATGTCTCCATCTCAGTCAATGGCAACATTATCTACCAAAACGCTCCAAACCTATAATCACTCCTGATATCTTTCTTTCCACCACACCCATCAGCTCCCCTTCTGACCCTGTCTCACTTTGAATGCATTACCATCTTCCACCTTGTTTGAAGATCTCAGTCAAAGCACAATTGTGGCTCCCTCAGATTTTGTAATAACCTTCTAAGTAGTTTTCCTACCTTTGCCCTCTTTCTCCTATTCAACACCACTTAATGGCTGGAGTTATCTATTAAAATCCAAGTCAGGTCGCATAATACCCTGAGTAATTTGAATAAATACAAATACAAATGCCTAGTAGACTTCATTCATAATGTCCTACTTTGCTGGTATGTCCTGTACACACTAGTCTTTCTTTCTATTCCTCAAAATCTTCTCACATAATGTGTCAGCCTTACAATTCCATTTCCCTCTGCCTGGAATTCTCTTCTTAAAGGTCTTTGCTTGTCCTCATCCTTTGATTCTTAGCATAAAAACCACCTCCTTGTCCAGGGATTCCTTGACCATCCTTCTTAGAGGTGATCTGTCCTCCCCCTGACACTTCTCATCGCACTACTCTACTCATTGGCTTCACTGAGCCTGAAATCAGATTATTCACTTGTTTATGGTACCTGTCCACAGTAGGACAGTAGGATGTAAGCTCTGTGAGGACAGAGAACCCATCTCTTACTTGGAACTGTTGTCTCAGTGACTGGCATAGAGGCAATCCTCAATCCAGATTTGTTGAGCACCTAAAACAATTTCTAGAACTTCATGTTGAGTCAGGAGTTTTATGACATGAGCCTACTCTACTTTTTCACAGTAAAATATAACTCAGTATTGTTGTTATGTGCCCTCCAGTCTCCTGTGACTCAGAGGGACCCTATGGACAAGGGATCTAAATCTTGTCCCTGTAGCATCCTCACCATCTTCAATATACTTAAGCTCATTGTTACAGTCACCATACCTGAGAAACCTTTTTTTTTCTTGAAACTTTTCTCCCCCAGACGATTTTGAAGCCCAAGGATTAGTAGGACAGAGAGGACAGAAACCCAAGGTCTAAGGGATATCTCTCAACAATAATCTTAATTAAACTCATTGGTTTGGGGTAAAGCTTTGGCATGCTACATCCATCTCTTCCCTCCATTTCACTGGCAACTCTGAAAGGTCACTGGAAGTTCTGAACTGTGCAGGAGTTGAACTGTCTGAGCAGCTGTGTTAAGGGCCAGAAATGTTCTCAGACACCTCAAAGCCTGTGCCTGCTCTCCTTTAAGCCTTCTAGTGAAAGAGGTGCCAACAGGGACAATATTTCCTGCTAAAATGTGGTGGTGTCACTGCCCAAGGTGGATGCTCCCAGAAGCCCTCCTACCTACAGCCCCAGAAGGATTAGCAATATCATCCATTTTGGGGTTGCGTGGCTGCCCTGTCAAAATATTCCTTTGCACCAAAGACAATTCCAAATCATGTTTCTAGTCCTTCAACTCAGTTCACACTTTCAAGTCAGAACCCTTTCATAGTTGAGACTCCAATGAGTTTCCACGGCTGTAAACCACACAAGAGGGATTGCCCATCTTTCTCTTGCAGAGCTGGTGATTAAAACTGCCCAAGAAGTACAGCATTTAGGTTAGAAGCACAACTCTCTATAGATTACGCCACCAGAGCAGAACTGCAAAAGGAGTAAGAGGAGGGCGTTGCGAATGTCACATTATGCAAGGATTGTAGACATGTATGGTAACATGTATTTTTAG